GAATTCAATCAAATTCCTCTTGTATAGTAAACTAGACTAGAAGATTGAAAATCATTTCTTAGTATTGGCAAAAAAAAAAACTTTTTGTTTAAATCACCTGGACATACCTGTGACCTCTTCCGGAATTGAGTCCATCTTGAAGTCTCTCGACAGAAAGAGTGACTTGCATCTTTCCATTTATGGAAAGATTTTTCAGGTGTTTCGGGTTCAAAGGCAGCTCCGATGTGATTGTCCATCCAAGGCTGCCCCCTTCCTTCAATAACATTAATAACAAGAGGATTATATAAATCAATCTCTCCTTCTCGCTGGGGGCCAGCCGTCTCTTATTATTTATGAATGGAAATGCCTAGCTTGCCTTTCGAACGAGGGACTCAGCAGAGTAGCCTGCAAAACATTAAGATCTCTGTGTTTAAAATATTTAAACACTTTTCCTCCTCCAACTACAGGGGAACCAAAAAGAGAGAAAAAAGTCAAAGAAAGAACATGTTTTTTGATCTCTTTCTTAGCCCAGAAGGTTCATTCATTCATTCATTCATTCATTCATTCATTCATAAAAATGGAGAATATTTTTGTCTTGGTTAAGCAACCAAGCTGCTCTTTTTCAAGGCTGTTTTGTTTTTTCCGTTCCAATGTCCGAAATGTTGACTTTGGAAAAGAGCGAAGTAAATCTTATTGGAAAGAGAAAATGCCCTTTAAAAAAAAAAAAACACCTTTTCAAGTAGTCCAACTTCATGCTAGTCATCCCAATCACCCCAGGTGGACTTCCAAAATCACCCCATTTTTGTAAACCTCAGAACTCAGGACTGGAAATATATTTCTCTTGGTCCTGTCTTCTGAGCTTGAAGTGTTGTTGGATGATAGATCTCGTGTTCTTCAGCTAGGATGGAAATGAAGTTGGTCGGTCAGTGACTCAAATGTTCCACCTTATGAAAAGATCTTTCAGAAAGTAGGCCAAAGAGAACTTCCTGGTTCCATCATTTCCTAAAAGTTATTTAAAGGGGAGACACATCTGCTTAAAAAAATAATGAATCACCCCCAAAGTTCATAGACATAATAAAGGTGGACACCTACTGTACTGAAGAAAACTGCCTGATTTTAGCTGGTGGTACAGGAGAAGGAATTGTCCAGCTTGTAAGATAATTCCTTCACATCTGGTTCAGTGGTGGGTTTCACATTATGTTACTATCGGTTCGCCCCGCTCGTGCGCACCTGCCTTCCGCACATGTGCCCAGCCTCAAAAACGTGCCTAAATAGGATGGCATAGAGCCGGAGCGCGTGGGCAGGCCCACCAATGATTTCCGCTACCGGTTCAGAAGAATTGGTCCAAACCGGCTGAATACCACCTCTGATCTGGTTATACTTGCCACTCTTATCCCACAAGATTTGCTCTCAAATCAATTTTGGATCGGGATGCTAAAACATTCTGGATACTGTTCGCAAAAGTCCTTTTCTCCTCGGTGAGCATTTATGCACGCAAAATTGCGCTACCCGATATCCAAGGGAGGAATGGACGATTTTGGAGACGTCACAAGGGTGTAGATGTTGCAAGACTTCCTCGTGACTTCCTTCCTCTCACAGACTTTGAATGGTGGTGATGGGGGTGAAAGGATGAATGAATGAAATATGTTCAGTGGATGTGGAAGGTAACCTGAAGAGAAAGGAACTAAGTCATTTCAAAAAGAGACTGGACTACCATTTGTCCGAAATGATATAGGGCTGTGATGGCGAACCTATGGCATGCGTGCCATATCGGTGGGCACGTGAGCTCAGCTATGGCGCGCATGCACGCACCGGCCAGCTGATTTTCGGGCCTTCTGGGCCCACCAGAAGTAGGGAAACAGGCTATTTCCTGCCTCTGGAGGACCTCGGGGGGGTGGTGAGGAAGTCCCATTTTCTCTCTCCCCAGCCTCCAGAGCCTTTGTAAGAGTCTGGGGAGGGTGAAAACAGCCTTCCCCACCTCCTCCCGGAGGCCCTCCGGAAGCTGAAAACGGCTCGTTTGCCAACTTCCAGTCCAGAGAAAGGCTCTGGAGGCTGGGGAGAGCAAAAAATGGGCCTACCGTGCCATTGCGTGTCAGGAGCAGTGGGAGCGTGGGGGGGGGGTCATGTGCGCATGCGTGGGGGCAGGGTGCATAGAATTATGGGTGTGGGCATGCACGCAACCCCCCTCCCCCCCGCTCCTGGCACGTGATAGGTTAGCCATCACTGATATAGGGCCTACTGCTGGAACGGGGTTGGACTAGAAGACCTCCAAAGTCCCATTCAACTCTTATTATTCTACGCTCTACATTTCTATGACGTCTTGGTGGTATTGGAGATATCTCTGCTCCCAAGGTGGTCTTCTGAAGTTCTCCTCAAAGTAAGAAATACAGGTTGTCCTTGACTTACCGCCATTCATTTAGTGACCGTTTCAACCAGTCCTTGAACTTGCAACCGATGCAGCATCCCAAAGTCACGTGACCACAGTTTGTTTGCTTAGCATCCGGTATGCATTTGCAATGATTGTAGCATCCGGGGGGGAGGGGGGTCATGTGACTGCCATTGATGTCCTTCCTAGGTGGCTTCCAGCAAGCTAAGTCAGTGGAGGAGCTGGACTCACTTAAAGACCTTGCCTGATTCACTTAACAACTGGAGTGATTCTTTACATTATGGCAGAAAAGGTCATAAATTCGGATGTGACTCACTTAATAACCGCCTTGCTTAACCATGGAAATACATGGTCTCATTTGTGGTCGTAAGTCGAATGGTGCGGTGGCCTAGAGGTGGAGCTCTCGCCACACAATCAGGAGGCTGTGAGTTCGATCCTAGGTAGAGGCGCATATTTCTCTCTCGGGGCACAATGAGAATATATTTTCCGAACAAAACTCCGCTTTGGTGACAGGAAGGGCATCCGGCCAGTAAACACTCAGCTCCATTAAGTTGCCCAAACTCCACCCTGCAAGGGATTATGGGGTCATTAAAAGAAGATGATTTGTGGTCATAAATCGCGGATTACTTAAACCTGACGTCTCTAGCTTCTGGCAATTCCAGCTAGTTCAATGCTGCTTTTTTGTCCTTTTTTTCCCCCCCACCCTCTCTCTCCTGAAATATTGCAAGGCAGAAATATTGCAACCCCAGAGGGACAGCTCTGCCCGTGTTTCCTCTGAAGTAAATTCTATCGGAGGTTTAGTCTCGGAAAAAAAGAGGTGGAAAAAAAAGAGAGTCTATTTCTGTTATTTACTGATTCAGGCAAATATCGTTGCAACCTTGAGATTGTAGCTGCTAGGCTGCGGCGTAAAAATAGGACAGTGACCACAATAGCAGTGGAGGTGGTGATTTTTCTGTTTCATTTCAGAATCCTGATAATCTAATCACATGTAAATGGCTTAGCAGTATGTGTGTGTGTCCGTGGGAGACCTATCCATCATGCCGTATTGATAGGCAGCTGGTCTGAGAAAACTGGATAGAAGATAGAAGTCTTTGGATTTATGGGAAGCCTGGCAGATTTTTCGTTTTCTCTTAACTTTGGAGAACAAAATTGTATTTTGTTTAATGCCTCTTGGTGGTTGCTTCTTGAGGCTGTTGTTGATACGTTCCTCTCGGGTTTTATCTTGATTCATGATGACATTTCCTTGGCGAGAGTAGCGCTTTGCTTTCCTTCTTCCCAGGGCTGAGAGAGAAGAAGATTGGCCCATAATCCACCAGCTGGCTTTCTCCTTAAGGAAGGATTAGAATTTGGGGCTCCCTGTTCTTAATCCAGCATCTGTAACCACTAGAGAAACTGGTTCCCGTTTCCTAAGGTTCTGCATCCTCAATAATAAACGTTGAAATAAAATAGGGCCAGCGAGATTTACAGATAGTCCTCGGTTTATGAGCATTTGGACTAGAATTTCCATTATCAAACAAGGTGATTATTAAGTGAGTGGTGCCAGGGAAGGGAAGGGAGAAGGGAAGGGGAGGGAGGGAGGGAGGGAGGAAGGGAGGAAGGAGAGGGGAGGGATGAAGAAAGGAAGGAAGGAAGAAAGGAAGGGGAGGGAGGGAGGGATGAAGGAAGAAAGGGAGGAAGGGAGGTAGAGATGATGGAAGAAAGGGAGAGGGAGAGAGGGAGGGAGGAATGGGAGAGGGAGGAAAGAAGTAAGGGGGAGATGAAGGAAGAAAGGAAGGGGAGAGGGAGTAATGAAAAAGGAAGATGGGGTAGGGAGGAAGGAATGGGAGAGGGAGAGAGGAAGGGAGGGAGGAAAAGAGGGAGAGAGTTAGGAAGGGAAGGAAGGAAGAGGGAGGGAGGGAGGGAAGGAAGGGGAAGGACGGAAAAAGGGAGGGAGAGAGGGAGGGAAGGGAGGGAGGAAGGAAGGAAAAGAGGGAGAGTTAGGTAGGGAAGGAAGGAAGAGAGGGAGGGCAGGATGGATGGATGAGGGAAGGAAGGGAGGGAGGAAGGAAAAGTGGGAGAGAGAAAGGGAGGAAAGGGAGGAAGTGAGGGAAGGAAGGAAGGAAGGAGTCCACACCAATGAGGAACTGGCAAAATGCTAAAGGGCCTTCCTGAAGCACTCCAGGCTTATATTCTTATCCTTAAATCGAGCCTCCCTATTCTGAGGCACGGTACCTCCAAATAGCAGAAAAAAGAAAGCCGTAAGAGAATAATGTTTAGCTTACTTCCCCGTCACTGAGCTTCTCTGAAGAAAAGATAGCTGGCCTAGATCATTCCTTTGGCTCTGTTCTTTCAGCTGCTTATCAATCTCTCCTTTGTTCCTGGCTTCCAAATCTCATTGGATGCATTTGGGGGAAGGGAGTCCCTCCCTGCCCTTCCGTGGGGCAGCCTAGAGTTAAAGCGATAGTCACTCGCCTAGTTTAAGATCAGATGCAAAGACCGGCCATTGTCTGCTGTTTACTTTGGCTTTTTTTCTAAAACAAGCAGAAAAAAAGAGCAGGCTTGGTTTTCTGTCTATCTGTCTCTCACAAGGGTGTGTTCCAGAAAATTCCATTGTTGCCTTAATAAGAGGTCTATTGATAATTCAACATAAGCCGCAATGGATTTTGGTTAGTTTTACTGTTGGACGCAACAAAAGTGCGTCTAGTCAAGGCGATGGTTTTCCCAGTTGCAATGGATGGCTGTGAAAGTTGGACCGTAAGGAAGGCCGAGGGCCAAAGAATGGAGGCCTTTGAACTCTGGTGCTGGAGAAGACTCCTGCGAGTCCCTTGGACTGCAAGACGATCCAACCGGTCGGTCCTAGAAGAGATCAACCCCGACTGCTCTTTAGAAGGCCAGATCCTGAAGAGGAAACTCAAATACTTTGGCCACCTAATGAGAAGGAAGGACTCCCTGGAGAAGAGCCTCATGCTGGGAACGATGGAGGGCAAAAGAAGAAGGGGAGGGCAGAGGTGGCTGGATGGAGTCACTGAAGCAGTCGGTGTGAGCTTAAATGGTCTCCGGGGGATGGTAGAGGACAGGAAGGCCTGGAGGAATGTTGTCCATGGGGTCGCAATGGGTCAGACACGACTTCGCAACTAACAACAACACTGTTGGATGGTAGAAACTTTTTGCACTTTGTAAACCCTTAAACTGTAAGCTGGTCAGAGTTGTCAATCGACATAGGCAGCTAGAGAAAATGAATGAATGAATGAATGAATGAATGAATGAATGAATGAATGAATGAATGAATGAATTGGGGTTTGGATTGGTGCAAGAACTTGGTCAGTAGAACTAGCTCAAAGTCATTTATGGTTTTTAGGTAGGATACTTGGTGGACGAAAACTAAAAAGAAAGGGCTCATGATAGCAGTCTTCCAATATCTCAGGGGCTGCCACAAAGAAGAGGGGGGGGGGTTCAACCTATTCTCCAAAGCACCTGAGGGCAGGACAAGAAGCAATGAATGGAAACTCATCAAGGAGAAAAGCAACCTAGAACTAAGGAGAAATTTCCTGACAGTTACAACAATTCATCAGTGGAACAACTTGCCTCCAGAAGTTGTGGTTGCTCCATCACTGGAAGTTTTCAAGAAGAGACAGGACAGCCATTTAACAGAGCAGAATAACAGTTAGAAGGGTCCTTGGAGGTCTTCTAGTCCAACCCTCTGCTCAGGCAGGAAACCCTATTCCAGGGGTGTCAAACTCAAGGCCCACGGGTCGAATCTGGCTGAGGGGGTGCTTAGATCCAGCCCACAGGGACGGCCTGGAAAAAGCAAAGGATCGTCCCAATGTGCCTCTGCTAGGAAAAACGGAGCTTGGGGAGCCATCCGCTGCTGCTACCAATTCGCCCGAACCGGGTAGAACCGGTAGAAACCCATCATTTGGACCAATCCTTCTTAGCTTCCAGACTCGGATGTACTCAGCCAGATGTTACCATCTTTTAGAGATAAGTCACGGTTTGAAACCATAGTTTTAATTATAATGTGGGGATCAAGCTTTCGGAGAGCAGATGTCTACATGCGATTTCTTCCCAGAGTGTCTTGTTTTTTTTTTTTTGAAACCAGACTGTCTTCTTCCATTCTGAATGTCATGCACAAGGTTGTCTCTGCGCTCTGTTTTAAAAAGCCACAGGGCCGGACCATGACTGACAGGATTCGGCTGAGCTGTGCTTCTTTTTAAAACCGTTCCAAGGATTTTAAAGGTGGCACCCACCCACGGTTCTATTGAACGAATCCTTACCGTTGTCTCCGGCAATTACGTTCGGCGTCCAACCTGGCTGAGTTGGTTACTCTCAAACCAGACCTGGTTCAAAAGCAGCGTACATCCTGTCTCTTCCCACCGAATTCAACGCGAGCTTCCAAAGGAAGCGGGCAGCAGACCTAGCTCTCACCTTGTTTTCTGAAAACAAGGCAGGCGGCTTTGAAACCCAACGCCCTTGCTTTGGAATTCGTTCGCCGAATGGCTCTGTTCGCTGTGATGCTGTTAGCAGTTACGACGATCCCTGCGGGCGATTCGGTGCCCAATCGGCACACGGCAAAGCGACAGAGGAAACAGACGGAAGCGATGGAACCGCAGGTCAACGGCGCAATTCCTTCGGCGATTTGGTCAAAAGTTCCGAAACAATAGGCTGCCCTTTATTTAGTCAGTTCCTTTGTGTCAATGAAATCAAGGGTCACATCGGGGTTGTGTTTGACCCGGGGGAGAGGGGCAGGTGGGCGTGGCCAGCTTGATGTCACTCATGTCCGCGGCACCTGTGGTGGCCCGAGCGCTTTGCCAGCGAAAACCGAGCTTTGTTTTTGCTGGCAGAGAATTGCAGCCAAAAACGGAGCAGCCAAAAACGGAGCTCGGGAGGGCCCATTGGCCAGATCTAAGCACCCTACAGTCTGGATCCAGCTCCCGGGCCTTGAGTTTGACACCCCTGATTTGTGTAGTATAGATAGTCCTCGACTTACAGCCATTGACTGAGTGACCGTTTGAAGTTAACACCGGCACCGAAAACGTGACTCGTAACCAGCTTTCACACATACGACTGTTGCAGCATCTCCATGGTCGTTTGGTCAAAAATTCAGACGCTGGGTTCATATTTATGACAGTTGCAATGTCCCGGGGTCACGCGATCCCCTTTTTGAGGCCTTCTGATGAGCGGAAGTCCATGAGGAAGCCAGATTTCACTTCACAACCGTGTTACTAACTTAACGACTGAGGTGATTCACTTCACAACAAGGAAGGTCGTAAAATGGGGCAAGGTTCACTGAACACATGTCTTGCATAACAATGGAAGTGTTAGGCTCAGTTGGGGGTCATAAATCAAGGGCTACCTGTATTTTTCATCTGTCCCAATCTGGATGATGAATACCGGTGGAATCAAATCCCAAACAATATCAGAAGCAAAAATCCAGCTTCCAGATTAAGTGTTTTTTTCCTGTGAGACCGGTCTATCAGGGCAACCTGGTCTACCAAAATATGGGACGGAGCATACTGCTTCCGCCCGGGTTCGAATCCCAGAAGGGTATGGCTAGCTGATGAGAGCTAAATAGCTTGAAATAGATCTATACTAGTCTCCCTTGATTATTTTGTCACTCAAATTATCAATTCAACATCTTCCAGATTATAATGGTGTCCAAGAAACGTCTTGGAAGATAAGGGGATGCTGCCCAAGAAATGATGAGAGAAGAGACGGCATAGCCCACAGCTGCATAACGGGTGGAGAAAGAGGGACCCTCTCTAGTTTCTTGTGCTGTAAAAGAAGGGGAGGGGAGAATTGTGTTTTCAGGCTTGCAAGATTCCGTTAACGTAGCTTTACAATAAAGTAGAATGAGCTTATCTGGTCCTGTTTCCTGTCTGGTTTATCTGATAAAGCTGACACAGATAAAACAACACTGTGCAATAATTGATGGTTGTCCACCACTCACAGGTTCAAGTGATTCTTGAACTAGATGTTTTTTGCTTCCCTCTGAAATACGAGGACATCAGGACCAGGCGTGTCTCCATGGGGAAGGGTATATCCCAAAGGGTGGAGGGTTCCACTGAAAAGACCTAACCCTGAATCAGAGACCACATAGCTCCTGTGAGATGGAACCCACAGGAGACCTTCTCTAGATGTTTGGACTGGATGAGCTAAGTCACATTTGGCAAGGTGGTTTTTTGATATATGTTGCTGCTACGGTGTCTACGGCCTTAGGGGTACCAATCAACTCTTTGAGCTGGACTCAAAAGCATGATAGCAACCAATCCCGTGATGTCAAACTTAGGGTTGCCTCTGGCAATGTGGCCACCACCTTCTCTACCTGATGGAACTTCCAAGTGACCTCCAAATATCTCTTGTGATATTTGGGAATTGTTTCATCCCACTCTCAGTTAATGTTGATGACACTTCACATCCGGCTGTGGTATTTGTCGGTTCTTACAGCTCCTTTGGGGTTTTCCAACACAATGCCATTAAAATTCCAGAACTAACCAACCAACTGAACTCCGGTCACCAAGTTAAATATACATACGTAAAAATGAGCAGGAGGAAGGACAGAACAGTCAACTATTAACTCCCCCTTGCAGACGGGAGGTTAGGGATCAAAGGTCACTTTAACAAAAAAAAGAAAAGAAAAAAGAAAAAGTACAGGGATTGCTTAAGTTTGTGGCTAAATTCATATCACGCCCTGAAGAAACCCATTTTCTGGTTTTGCAAAAATGTGCTGTGCCTTCAACCAGATCAGCAAGTCTTTGTAAAGAGTATCTTAAGCCACCGAAGAAGATGGTGAGAAACTTAACCAACATGAAATCTCACTCAATTTACCAATAAAGGAGAATATTCGTAGCTCAGGGTTGAATTGAGGGGTCCTTGGTGCTCTCTGAGCTTGCTGGTTTTCTTACAGATGTTTCATCACCCAACTAGGGAACATCATCAGTGCTAGAAGGTTGAGTGAGATTTGTGGAGTGCGGAAGGAGGAGGAGAATTTGGAGGTCCTTGGTGCTCTCTGAGCTTGGTAGTTTTCTTACAGATGTTTCATTCCCCAACTAGGGAATATCATCAGTGCTAGAAGGGCGTGAGATTTGTGGAGTGCGGAAGGAGGAGGAGAATTTGGAGGTCCTTGGTGCTCTCTGAGCTTGGTAGTTTTCTTGCAGATGTTTCATTCCCCAACTAGGGAACATCATCAGTGCTAGAAGGTTGAGTGAGATTTGTGGAGTGCGGAAGGAGGAGGAGAATTTGGAGGTCCTTGGTGCTCTCTGAGCTTGGTAGTTTTCTTACAGATGTTTCATTCCCCAACTAGGGAATATCATCAGTGCTAGAAGGGCGTGAGATTTGTGGAGTGCGGAAGGAGGAGGAGAATTTGGAGGTCCTTGGTGCTCTGTGAGCTTGGTGGTTTTCTTGCAGATGTTTCATTCCCCAATTAGGGAACATCATCAGTGCTAGAAGGTTGAGTGAGATTTGTGGAGTGCAGAAGGAGGAGGAGAATTTGGAGGTCCTTGGTGCTCTCTTTCTTGCAGATGTTTCATCACCCAACTAGGGAACATCATCAGTGCTAGTCCTGGCAACCAAGCTCAGAGAGCACCAAGGACCCCTTACTCAACATAGTCTGTTGTGTGAATGCATCTGCTGCTAGCTTACCTGAAGGGGTTCCTTTCGTGATGGGAATTGAGTCAGAATTTCTGAGTTCTCCAAGGTACGGTTGAGGTTTGGGGTTGGATGGTTAGGAGCTTCCATCTCAGTGTAAACATACACACGGAGAGAGATTTGGATTGCTCTGCACTTGGCCTGCTTTCAAATACGAATGGCGGATTTTTGACATAACCGTTCACTCTTTCCTAAGAAACTGAGATGCTTCTGTTTATAGAGTCGCTTTCCAACATGCTTACAGTTTCTTGGCAGGGCAAGAAGCAGCTGAGATGGCGAGATGCTTGTTAATCGTTTTAAAAAAGAGAAATGTGAACCATGAGGCTCTGAAATGATTTCACAAGGACTTCCAGCTCCTTATGGATGAAAGGAACCTTAGTCTGGGGGCAATCGCTTATTTCTTCCTTGGGTTCCTTTTTCTTAACGCCAGTTTAATCCCTTATGGCACAATCCCATCTAGGTTTAGTAAGAGGTCATTTCCTGCAGGTCCTCTAGCAATTATTTCTTGACATTTTAAGGTGATGTCCAGGCGTAGAGCTGCTTCTGAACTGGGCTGAACGTCATTAGATTGCAAATGGGAACGGAGTAAGTTGTAAATAAGTAAGCAATGTTCTCCCTGTACGTCGAGAAGAAATAGAGACATCAAATTGTGGTGATGGATGGTTGCTAAAGGTCAACTAGGCCAGCCTTCAGCCTAGATGGGCATCAAAACCATTTTCAACCATCCATGAGAAGTAACTGTGTTCTTAAAAGACTCAAGAGATGGAGAAGCCTTCATAGCAGTGTGACTGCCTCTGAAGGACATCTGCTGGGAGACTGGTGGCCTTCCTTGTGCAGTTGGTTGAAAGTCCTACGTAGTGGTTGAAGTGCAACAGGAGTGATGGTCCAGGATGAACAAACAATCAGCATGAGCAATTTAGGTCAGATAGACCAATGTTTCCCAATCTTGGCAACTTGAAGACTGGTGGATGTCAACTCCCAGAATTCAATTTTGAGCATCCATTCATCTTCAAGTTGCCAAGGTTGAGAAAGAGTGTGATAGACCATGGTTGGTTGAGGAATTCTGGGAATTGACAACTGCCCATCTTCCACGGTTGCCAAGATTAAAGAACGCTGAGATTGACCATAGTCTCCCTTGAACCCAGACAATCTCTTGGGTTCCTAATGTAGAGAAGAATACCACTTGACCTATTTGGAACATCTTACTAGGTTGGCATGCGTGTCCCCAAAGGATTGCAAAATCCGTTGCTGGCCCGTGAACAATACCTAACCTTCTCTATTGTATCTCTCTCGTTTGTTTTTGGCAGGCAAAACGAAGGCAACGAAGACGAGGACTTCCTACCCACAGGGGAAACGTCTGTCGATTCCTACCCGAATTGGCTCAAATTCCACATTGGCATTAACCGGTACGAGCTGTATTCCAGGCATAACCCAGCGATTGGCACCTTGCTGCACGATTTGGCTACCCAGAAAATCACCAGCGTTGGTAGGTTGCAGTTCAAATTACTGTTGCCATCTGTATGTGGGTGCAGCTGTGTCTTCTCTGGTTGGATTGGGAGATGCTTTGTTGGCATGAGTTGAATTTGATCGTTGGTGACGTTTATATTTATAGTTATGATCTTTAGAGTCTTTTTTTTTTTAATGCACTGCCCCACTTACCTTGGCCCTTAGCTCCACCCAGGTCTTCTGGCCACACCCTCTTTGGAATGCAACTGTTGACTTGCTCCTTCTGGCCTTAGAACTTCATTCAGACATAGAGTTGACCTACAAGGCAGGGGTGAAATCTAAATTTTTTCCCTACCGGTTCTGTGGGCATGGCTTGGTGGGCGTGGAAGGGGAAGGATACTGCAAAATCCCCATTCCCTCCTCACTCCAGGAGAAGGATACTGCAAAATCTCCATCCCGACCCTACTCCAGGAGAAGGATACTGCAAAATCCCCATTTCCTTCCCACTCCAGGAGAAGGATACTGCAAAATCTTCATTCCCACCCTACTCCAGGGGAAGGAATAAAATCTCCATTCCCTCCCCACTCCTGGGGGAAGGATATTGCAAAATCTCCATTCCCATTCCACTCTTGGGCCAGCCAAAGGTTGTGTTTGCCGGTTCTCCAGACTACTCAAAATTTCCTCTACCGGTTCTCCAGAACCTGCCAGAACCTGCTGGATTTCACCCCTGCTACAAGGAGATTTCCAAACTTGGCAACTTTAAGACTTTGTGGACTTCAGCTCCCAGAATTCCTCAGCCAGCATGGCTGAGGAATGCTGGGAGTTGAAGTCCACAAGTCTTAAAAGTTGGAGACTCCCGTCTTAGACAAACAGTGCAATTTCTCCATGCTGTTAAACTGATGGTCTGCAGAATTGTGACTTTCACACCTGAGAGCAGGTGAAGGTGAATGACCAGAGGTTAATTAGGCAGACCCATACGTTGTAGGTCAACTCTATGTCTGAATGAAGTTTATTGGGCTTTCGTCTCTGATAAAATGGAAGCTGGCAGAATGTAGTTCACCCCACCCATGTTTTCATTGACGGCTAAGCCAAACACATTAAACTATGTTCCACTTTATCTACAGGATATAACATCGTCTTTATTTAGCGCTATACTTTTGGCCACTCCTTGTGGAGTTGTTTTGTTTCTCCACGTACCCACAGAATTCTGGGAGTTGAAGTCCATGCTTCTTAAAGCAGCCGCAATTGAGAAACATTGGTTTAGGTCAGGGGTCTGCAACCTTAAACACTCAAAAGAGCCATTTGGACCCGTTTCCCACAGAAAAGAAAACACCGGGAGCCACAAAACCCTTCCCGTGCCTGACTATCTCTTGAGCGACCACAAAACTAGCATATGTAGTTGAATTAAACGTTCTGTTTTCTTCTCAAACTTTTATTTTCTTGAGTTTATCCATGGTTGGCCTACCGGAGGTTGAAAAGCTCAATAAATCGTGTGCCAGTGGGTGTTGCACATTGATGGTTGTGACACATATTTTGAGTGGCAGGGAACCGCAGCAGAGATTCTCCCAATCCTGTAGTAAATCGAAATTTGGAAGGATTAGAACACGTTTCTGTCCCTTGTAAGACCCATTTTTTTCCCTTTCCTTTTATTTATTTATTTATTTTTTTGTGGCTTTGTTTCCTTCGGCCCGACTCTCTTCAAAGATTTAATTAGATCTTCAAGGTTTCAAACGAAGGCAAGCCGGACTTGGCTCAAGGAAAGGTGAGGTGCATTTTGCGCCTCTAATTACCAGAACGAAAGTACAGAAATAACCATAATTAGCCATTTTCTTTTTGTGCAGTTGAAAAATTGCATCTCTAATAACGCCACCTGCCTGAGCCCAAGAGGCGCCCTTAATTAGAAACCCTGCGTGGTGCACAGCATTCAAGACGCAACATGTTAATAATTCCAGGCGCTCCTTTCTTTTTCCTTATTAAAGTTAGGAGGAAGATCACCCTGGATTTCCAAGGAACGGAATTGTCTTCACGTCGTCTTTTATCTTCCTACCTGGCCAGAATGAGACCATAAATGAAATCAGTTCTTTTCTAACTTCCCTAGCACTTTCCGCTTGGGTGGGTCATGTAATTTAAAAAAAATAAAAAAAGGGTACTGCAGAGTTATGGAAAGGATCAGGATTTTGCCCAGACCATTATACAGATTAACAGAGCTGGAAGGGACCTTGTAGGTCATCTAGTCCAACCCTCCGCCAAGGCAGGAGACCCTACACCATTTCGGACAGATGGCAGTCCGGTCTCTTCTTGAAAGCTTCCAGGGATGAAGCTCCCACAATTTCTGAATTTTGGTTGTTCTCACTGTGCCAGAAAGGTTATCCTTATTTCTAGGTTGAATCTCTCCTTGTTTCCATCCATTATTCCTTTTCTGGCCTTCGGGTGCCTTGGAAAATAGCTTGACCCCCCTCCTCTCTGTGGCAGCCCCTCAGATACTGGAAGACGGCTATCCTGTCTCCCCTGGTCCTTCTCTTCACTAGACTAGCCATGCCCAGTTCCTTCATATGTTTTAGCCTCCAGTCCCCTAATCATCTTGGTTGCTCTTCTCTGCACTCAGTCTAGAGTCATAGACTCTATGACTCTAGAATAGAGTCATATTCTTCAACATAATAGAGCAGTTAGATACAGATACAGATCAACAGAGTTGGAAGGGTCCTTGGAGGTCATCTAGTCCAAGCAGGAGACCCTACACCATTTCTGACAGATGGCAGTCCAGTCTCTCCTTGAAAGCTTCCAGTGATGAAGCTCCCCCAACTTCCGAAGGCAACTTCTGTTCCATGGGTTGATTGTTCTCACCGTCAGAAAGTTCCTCCTCATTTCCAGGTTGAATCTCTCCTTGATCAGTTTCCATCCGTTATTCCTTGTCTGGCCTTCAGGTGCTTTGGAAAATAGTTTGCCCTGCCCCCCCTCCCCTCCTCTCTGTGGCAACCTCTCAAATATTGGATATTATCTGGGAGAACATCCAGAAAATGAGTCTGGAAGACATTGGATGATCTAAACGTTATCTACGTGTCACTTATGATGAATGTTTAGGTCATCCAGCGTCTTTCATGAAGTAGTCCTAGATTTCTGTCGAAGGCTGGAGAGAAGTCCTGTCTGCAGAACAGTCACTAATCTTGGCTGATAATTATGGGCAAAATGAAGAAAGAGCTTGACCTAGGAGAAGGTAATTGTCCATGTTCTTGTTTTAATCCTTGATTTAGAATCACAAGGACTAGAATCTTTAGTGGAGAGTCTTGAACTTAGGTCTTTGCAGGCCAAAAGTCCCAAGTTCTCACATTGTACTAAACCAAAATTGGACATGTCATGTGATAACTTAGCACCATATGTGAGCTTCATCCGCATTTAAATCACGTTGAGCTAACTGGATTAATTATCCTTTTGGAGGTGGTTTCCTCTACTATTTCTTTCTTTTTCCTCTTGTTTTATCCTGAGTTTTGATCGATCAGGTGCCATTAAGTTGAGGTCAACTCTTAGCAACTACATCAATAGATTCTCTTGATTACACTCTTCCCTAACCTAGTCCTTCAGCTCTTCCAACAGTTCACCCATGGCAGCTGTAGCTGAATCCACCCACCTTTCTCCTGGTGGTCCTCTCCTACTCTTTCTTTCCAACCGTCCCACCACCAGCTTCTTCTCCAAAGAGCTAGGTCTTCATAGAATGTTTCATTTGATGTCTCTAGTGAGAATTCTAACTGGATTTCGTTCATGATCCATTTGTTTTCTTGGCTGTCCATGACCTTCTCTGGAGTCTTCTCCAATATTAGTCCAAAAATGTCTGTGGCAGGAGTATCAAACTCAAGGCCCACACGCTGGATTTGGCCCACTGGGCTGTCCTAGTCTACCCATGTCACTTCAGCCCAGTCTACCCGCGGACGCTTCGGCTCAGTCTTCCCATTGCGAAGAGGAAACATCAGGCCAGCATAGCTTCACCCTTCTACCCAATGCAAAGAGGAGACATGCCAGCAGTTTGGCGAGTGACGTCAAGCTGGCCACACCCACCCAGCTGGCCACACCCACCCAGTCAGCCACACCCATCCCCCCCCACCCCCGAAGTCAACCACAGCCATGAAATTGAATGAAACTGAGATTGACACCTCTGGTCTATGGTGTCTATGAAGATTCTCAGTCATCCAGGTCATAGTTGTCCCAAGATGGTTTTTCGAAAGGCAACCGGACTTACCAGAGGTGCTAATTCAGCAGGTTCTGACCAGTTCTGGAGAACTGGTAGCAGAAATTTTGAGTAATTCAGAGAACCAATAAATACCACCTTTGACTGGCCCGCCCCCATGCAGACCATCGGTGATGACGTCTGGGCAGGTAGACATAGTCTCCCGCTGCTACAGGTTCGCACAAACCGGGGCGAACTGTTAGAAACCCACCACTGGGTCAGCCCCAGTCTAGTGTTTTCATATCAGTTCATAAATCAAGTCAGAGCTTTGATTTGATTTGAAAGCTTGATGAGAGAGAGAGAGAGAAGAAAAGCATTCTTCAGACTGTCAAATTGATTGAAAGGCATTGATTCCAACCCGTTTATTAGACGTTTCTGTTAGGAAAGCTGTTTTGAGGCAGCGAATCAGGGAAATGGGCTTGGGTCGAGTTGAAACTTTGCACATTCTGGAATCTAATGGTCTTATTAGCACAGGAGTTAGAGGTCCACCATCCATCCCACCATTGTTAAAGGTAAAGGTTCCCCTCGCACATATGTGCTAGTCGTTCCCGACTCTAGGGGGCAGTGCTCATCTCCATTTCAAAGCCGAAGAGCCAGCGCTGTCCGGAGACGTCTCCGTGGTCACGTGGCCGGCATGACTTAACGCCAAAGGCGCACGGAACACTGTTCCCACCAAAGGTGGTCCCTATTTTTCTACTTGCATTTTTTTACCTGCTTTCGAACTGCTAGGTTGGCAGAAGCTGGGACAAGTCATGGGAGCTCATCCCGTTACGCAGCACTAGGGATTCGAACCGCTGAACTGTCAATCTTTCGATGGATGG